TTCTGCTTGGCCTCAGGTCTGTGGATGGTATGGGGTGGCCACTCTATGCGAAATGCCATACTTTTTCATTAACTTCTCAAAAACTCGGTTGCAAAAATGCTTGCCCCCGTCACTCACAATAGCCCGTGGGAATCTAAACCTACTCAATACATGACTTTGCAAAAACTTGATCACAATGTTAGCATCACATGTCCTTGTGGGGATAGCCTCAACCCACTTGGACACGAATCTACAGCAAGAAGAATATACTCAAAGCCAAAGGATTTGGGAAATGGTCCCATGAAGTCAATGCGCCACACATCAAAAATTTCAACTTGCAAATTGTTCACAAGGGGCATCTCATTCCTTGGGCCAATATTCCCAATTCGTTGACAACGATCACAAGATTCGCAAAATTTATAAGCATCTTTAAAAAGTGTAGGCCAGAATAAACCTGATTGGAGAACCTTAAAGGCGGTCTTTCGACCTCCATAATGTCCTCCACAATCAAGATTGTGGCAGAAGGTAAGGACATCCAATTGCTCCTCTTCGGGCACACACCTCCGAAGAATGTCATCTTTTCCCATCTTGAAGAGGAATGGGTCATCCCAAAAATAGCTCCTGCACATCAAAACAAACCGTTTCCGCTCTTGGGAAGAGAGGTTAGCCAACAAGACACCATCTGACAAATAGTTCACTATGTCTGCATACCAAGGTACACTAACCACTTCATTCGCATGATCATATGGAAAATCATCATTTATGCCTACATGCTCATGCAATGCAAGTGAAGGGTCAGAGGGAATAATGCGAGACAAATGGTCAGCTACAACATTTTCACATCCTTTTCTATCTCTAATCTCTACATCAAACTCTTGCAAAAGAAGAATCCACCGAATTAGTCTAGGTTTCGATTGAGTTTTACTCAAAAGATACCTTAGAGCTGCATGATCAGAATGCACAATCACTTTAGACCCCAAAATGTAGGATCTAAATTTTTCCAGAGAAAACACAACAGCTAATAGCTCCTTTTCAGTGGTCGTGTAATTCAATTGGGCACCATTTAGGGTCAAACTAGCATAATAAATTACACGAAGCAATTTATCAACTCGTTGGCCCGAAACGGCTCCCACAGCAAGATTCGATGCATCACACATAATTTCAAAGGGTAAAGACCAATCAGGTGCAATCACAACAGGAGCAGTCACAAGCTTATTCTTCAATTTAGCAAAGGCATCTACACATGCATCATCAAATACGAAAGGCACATCATTAGCAAGCAAGTGACACAAAGGCTGACTAATTTTTGAAAAGTCCTTAATAAACCTCATATAGAAACCAGCATGACCTAAAAAGCTTCGAACACCTTTCACATTCATAGGCGGGGGAAGTTTTTCAATAACATCAACTTTTGCTTTGTCAACCTCAATCCCCCGACTTGACACCACATGACCAAGCACGACTCCACTAGTCACCATAAAGTGACATTTCTCCCAACTCAAAGTCAAATTCGACTCAATGCATCTTTCAAGCACACGAGATAAATTATGGAGACAATCAGAAAATGAAGTACCAAATATAGAGAAGTCATCCATAAATACCTGTAAGCAATCCTCGAGCATGTCGGAGAAAATGGAGAACATGCACCGTTGGAAGGTCCCGGGTGCATTGCATAGGTCGAAGGGCATGCGTCTGAAAGCAAACGTTCCGAATGGGCACGTGAAAGTTGTCTTGGGCTGGTCCTCCGGAGCTATAGCCACTTGGTAGTAGCCCGAGAGTCCATCGAGAAAGCAATAGAACTGGTGGCCTGAGAGACGGTCGAGAATCTGATCAATGAACGACAACGAAAAGTGGTCCTTCTTTGTTACGGCGTTGAGTCGCCGGTAATCAATGCACATTCTCCACCCGGTAGTGATACGGGTGGGGGCCATCTCTTTTTTCTCATTCTCGATAACTGTGATGCCCTCTTTCATTGGCACCACATGAATGGGGCTGACCCACTCGCTGTCGGCCACTGGGTAAATGAGCCCCTCGGAGTAGAGCTTCAACACTTCCTTTTTCACCACCTCCATCATATTCGGATTAAGCCGCCGCTGGCTATCCCGAAATGGCTTGGCACCTTCCTCCAAAAAAATTCGATGCATGGAAGTAGAAGGGCTGATGCCCTTAATGTTGCCGAGGCTCTAACCGATGGCCTTTTGGTTCTTCTTAAGTACCTCAATCAGCTCCTTCTCCTCTTCCCGGTTGAGCTCGGCAAAGATTATCACCGGCTTTTTCTTCTCATCATCAAGGAAGACATACTTGAGGTGACGAGGCAACTCTTTTAACTCTAGTGCTGGTGGGGTTATCGATCTCGGCTCTTCCACTTCCATCAACTCAATAAACGGTCATTCTTCCTCTTTGAGATCGGGAGTGACCTCTCTTCCAAGTCTCGTATGGCCATCTCCTCGATAAAAGGATCACTCACATCAACGAACGAACACTCCTCCACAAAATTCACCGAGGATGCTGAGGTAGCTTCTCGGACGGAAATGGACACGGACTCTCCTAGGACTGTCATGTTCAATGTCACATTCTTCACGTCAATGAGTGTGTTGGTGGTGGCCATGAATGGCCTGCCAAGAAGGATGGTGTGGTCCTTCCCGTTCTCGTGTACGTCCCCCACATCGAGCACCACAAAGTCCACCGGGATGATAAGCTTTCCCACACGAACAAGAACAACTTCCACCACTCCTTTGGGGTATCGAATGGAACGTTCAGCAAGTTGAAGGCACATACGGGTTGGTCTCAAATCTCCTAGACCGAGCCGCTGGAAGATAGAAAACGGCATAAGATTGATTCCCGCTCCGACGTCAAGCATCCCCGAAGCTTCTTTTCCGTTTCCGAGAGCAATTCTTATCACGAAACCTCCGGGGTCCCGTTCTTTCTTGGGAAGATCATGCTGCATGGCACTTTCCGCCTCGTAGACCACCACCTTCTCTCCATCCCCGAATTTCCTCTTCTTTGTGACCAAATCCTTGAAGAATTTTACGTAAGATGGTATGTTCTTGATCACGTCCAGGAGAGGTAAGTTGACGTTGACTTTCGAGAGCATAGTGTAAAGATCCCGGAATTGCTGCTCTTGCTTCTCGTCTCGGAGTCTACTCGGAAAAGGGATGCGTGGCTTGTAAGGGTTTGGAGACTTGTGAAGCAAAGGACTTTCTGTTGGTTTTCTCGAGTTGGTTTCTGTGCTCTTCGTACTCTCCTCGGTTTCTTTGGGCTGGTCGGTTGGTTCTGGGACATCAGGCTCGGGCATTCTCACCTTGTTGTCCACTTCCTTACCGCTCCTCAACACAGTTATTGCTTTGGCTTGTTCGGACTGGCTCGGAAGTTTTTCTTTGTCGGACTCAACCTCCATGTTCCCGACTCTCGTGGCAAGTTGGCCCACTTGCGTCTCAAGACACTTAATCGATGAATCTTGGTTCGTGATGAACTGGAGGATCTTGTCCAGCTTGTCGTCTTGGTTTGACGAGCTCGATCCGGACCCTTGGGCTTGTTGTTGTGGTTGCTGCTGTTGTTGGTAGTTTGGTCGGGGTATGAAGTTGGGCCAGGATTGTTGCTGCATGATGTTGGGTCGAGGCTGTTGTTGGTTGAAGTTTGGACGAGGTGGTTGGAGAGTGTTGTTGTTGTTGGACCACGAGAAGTGTGGATGGTTTCTCCATCCTGGATTGTAAGTGTTGGAGTAGGGGTCATTGGGCTGTCGATTCTGATATCCTTGAAGAGCATTGATGTCGGCATATTGCTCTCCAAGGTCCTGATCGAATGCTGATGGGCAAACCCCTGATCGGTGCCCTTGGGCTCCACATGCCCCGCATGTATCCACTGTCATAGTCTGTACCGGCTGCATTGTCCGAGCATTCATTAGCCGCATTTGCTCCGTCAGCTCGGCTATCTGATGGGCCATCATGTCTCGTCCCGAAGATACTTCATTGACCACCGCTCTCTTTCCT